TTTCCCTTCTCAAATCTGGAATTATTAATGAAATGCCTCAAAGAAGACCTCGATTTTCACTGAAAAAGAAAAATAGTTGTTCTGTGACTCAGTGTCACTCTTGCCATATAAAATGGCTATAAATTAATTCACAGCAGCATTAGTTGTCGTGTAGCAAAAAGAAAAATCTTTATAACATTCTTTAGTGTTTCATTACCAACTACATTAAAGTGGTGCCACTTTTAAACAAATAAAAATGCAGGAAGAAATTATGTCCCTAAGGTCACACCTATCCCTGTCAGTCTCTGCTGTAAGGAATTCAAGTTCTGACAAACCCATTCGGGGTTTAAGTACGTAACTGGTTTTTTGTCGTGCTCTGGTCAACAAAAATTTGCCATCTGTAGATTGTCATGGGGCTGTTGAAAGTGATGCTCACCACGTAACTGCATCTGCTGAGGAAAATGCAAATGTCTTTGTTTTCAGAAGTAGCCAGGATTACAAATCTCTTTCATTGTTCCATTCTTGGTTTTATTCATCCTGGGAGATTTCAGGAATTTCCAAAATCTGAACTCCAGCCGCACTCTTCCAGCATTATCATTCTAGTGTCCACATCTGGATTCCAGACACTAGTTAGATGTGCTTATTTTTTCAAGATGATATTTCCTCTCTGTGCAGTGCTGTTCACTGCCTAATTGTAGATAATTTATTAACCATATGGACTAAAGTGATAACTTTGTTTTTCAGTGAAGTTTACTTTATCGATGTGAAGCACACAGATATTCTGCTGTGAATATCAAAATACATTCTACAAAATCAGTGTTTAATTCTCAGAAAGTTTAGGATCAGAACATGGTCTTGTTTCCTGGTGTCCAAAATCATAAAGCACTTTCAGAGCCTTTTGCACTGCTAAATAGGAATTTACCAATGTTTTCACCTCCCTATTGTCTTCAATTTGGGGGTTGTTCATGCATCTATGGCTGTGACTCACCATTTCAAATATTGTTTTGTGCCATAGCTGTAGCCATAAAGACCTTACTGGTAAACAAATCATAAAGGCAGCAATTTTAAGATACATTTTGGTCATAGCAAATAGTATTTTGTTCTTCCAACAAGAAATAAATGTGAAAAGTTCTTTCAAGCCCAAATTTTGGAGGAGATCCATAAACATATTTTCACTTATGAGAGTCCTCTTCTGTGTCCTGTGAAAATATTTCATACCCTGCTACTCTTCTTCAGTTTTTCTTTCTGAACAGGTAGGAAAATCTATTTTTTGCTTTACCAATTGAATTCTTTCTGCAAAGAATTCTAAAACCTTGTACATACTTGAAGCAAAAATCAGAGGATAAACTGTATGCCTTCTGCTGAAGACAATGTCTTAAAAGGTGCTGTAATTCTTAGCAGCTTTAATATGCAGGCACTGGATATTATTGTAAATGCAATTACATATAATTGCATATACTGATTTTTAAGATTCTTTTTTCTGGATTTTTTTAGGGTTTGAGGGCTCTTGGCTGCCATGGAAGAATAAAGGAACTTTCCATATCAGAATGCAAAAACATCAGTGATACTGGGATTCAGGTAAAACTTCACCTTTTCTCTTGGTGTTTCCTGGGATCCTCTCTGTTTCTTACAATTAACTGTGTCCAAAACTGATCTTATTTCATCATTCATTCTTTGTTACACTGTTCTGCTCTCTCACTCTTACAAATGATTCTCTGCTTCAATTCCTTTCTATTTTTTTTCATTCCTTCCATGAATTTTAATGCATCTTGAATTCCGCTTGACTCTGAAATTCACTCCAAAGGAGTCTGAATTTCTAATGAATTGCACCGTGCAAACTGCAATCTAAATTGCTGGTACAATTATTTCCTTCTTGCTCTACAAATCCTTCACCAGTTTCTATCTAAACCAAACTGTTCCCATCACTGGTGTGGTTTTTCAAGTTTTGCTTTCTGCTTCTTTAGTGGGTAATTCATCAAATGCTGTATTTACATGATGCATCATTCCTAGCTCAATGGAATAGGTGAATTCCTTTTAGTCTTGAATCTGAGGGTTGATCATGCACCTATGAGTGTGACTGCACCATTTCAAATGTTGGTTCCTGATGTGCTGCTGATTCATTGCTACACATCATTATCTCTTAGTGACACAAAAATATGTCTCAATTTGCCTCTAAAGGCATATTTCTTACTAGCATAAATGGTGTGATTACTGTTATTAAAAAAGCCAAATTATATTTCAATAAGAAATGCATGTACATCTTCTCTAGATTGAATAAATGTCCTAGCTGTTTTATGGGAAAAATAACACAAATTGCACTGTGTCATTATTTGAATAAACCCTATAAAAATGTCCCACAGAAACATCAAACGAGTAATTTATTTGTATCTAATCAAATTAATATCAGACTAATCTGCTATAAAATGGACTACATGTATTTTAAGCTAGTTGTTTGAAATACTGACTCCTTATTCTAAAAATCTCATCATGGTCACAGCAAGACGTCTATTGAATCTCACTAAACTTCTTTTTTTCCATTATTTTTCCTTTTAAAATTACAGACAGTGGTTTTGAAACTTAAATATTGGATCTGGGCAACATAAAGCCAGATATTGTTCTTAAAATAGAAAGATTAGGTTAACCAAGTATTTTTTAGTGTTCTGCTCTCATACTTAGCCTATGAGCTTAGAAACTTCCCAGGGTCAATAATTTTTATAAAGTAATCACACAGGAAATGAATTAATTTGTATAAAGGCAACTTGCAAAAAGAAGTTGCCACAAAAGCAGTTATTTACATGGATGACAACTTTAAAAGTTACACAGTGAGAAAACACTCTCTCTTTTGCATAATCAGCAGCTATCACAGAGATATTAATACTAGCATAAAATTTGAATTTCATTTTACAGTGTTTATGGGGTTTTTTGTATTTCTGCTTACTGACTGTTGCTTTTTTTTAATGAATGTCAGCAATGAGACTTGCCATCCAAACACTTAGATGATTTACACTGTCATTGCAGCAGTAACTACATGCTAAATTCTGGTTTATTAGTACTTAGTCTGATTTATTAGGACTGAGTCTTGTTTTGGTAGAATTAGTTATTCAGTGTTACTGTAATTCTTTTTATGGGTAAAGCATTGCACTGGAAACTGGAAAAGACGCAGAGAGGGTAATAGAGATGATCAGAGGTATGGTACAATCTCCCTAAAAGGAACAGATAAGTCAGCAAGGAACTGGCAGTCTGGGAAGGGGATGGCTGAGGGAATACACTGTGATCTGTTCCATCGCAAGTGGCATGAAAAGGGTGGATAGTGGTCAGCATTTGCTGACCATATGTCGTTTAATGTCCGCTAGATACATAATGTCCACCATATGACCATTTAATGTCCACTAGATACAGAATCTAGTGGACATTAAATGAACCTAGTTTGAATATTCAGAATGAAGAAAAGTACTATTCTAAAATGTACACTTATACTGTGAAATTTCTTATCCGTATCACAGGTTGTTTGCATTTTACCTAAATTTGACGAATTCAGTATAATTGCATAGATTTACTGCTTTGTGCTTCAGAACAATAAAAGAAATAAACACTAGTTGGAAACTTTACAGTATAAAAAAGAACCATTCATCTCGTTAGGAGGGAGAGAGGATTCACATCCAAATAAGAGCACTTTATTCTGTAACTGAGAATTGTTTCTAATCATATGTAACAAAATGCATTCGTGTATGAATTTCATGCCCATAAACAGTTGCAGATCATGAGGCTGCAGGTAGACTTGATGCCATCACATAATCCCAGTCTTCAGCTCCTACATTTTTTCCATTGTAAAGCTGCAACATTCATCATTTTATCGCCATATATGTAAGAATGAGGTAGTTGTTGCTGTACCACAAGGGATGCATCTGGATTGAATCTTGTTACCCAACGTACACGTCAGGCCATTAGGATTTGCTTCTTTAGGAATAATTCTGACTTGCCTTTTGTGAATGTTCTGTGTAAAGTTTCATGTTTTTAACCAGAACAATGGCCAAGTATGTGTGTATCTTGTGTACCTCATGGGAAGTCATGTAGCATCAGCACTGGTGCTTTCAGAGGAGAATATTCATTTCTGTATTGTGCTATGCTGATGGCTAAGAAGCTATTTCTCATTGTATAGACTAAGTAAAAAAAAAAGACTATGGAAAAGGGGGTATTTATTCTTTCTTTGTCTGCCATACAAATTTCAACTTTTTGAGGAAGAAAGCAGCAGCAGGGTATACATGCAGAGGTTACAGAAGCCATGTCGTCATGAATCTAGGGAGGGCAGGAGAAAGAAGAGGTATGAAGTTACTCAAAACAAAATGGCAAGTCCTATTTTGTAAGTTGAATCTAAGTATATGTTTATAGAAAATTTGCAGAGAGTAACCCCATTGTGTGCTGCATGACTTGGTTCTCCTTTGATTATACAAAGAATATTTAAATTATGTGAAAACAAAATGCATATTAAGAGGGATTCACTAACACTGTGAAGGCAAATTGCTGGAAAGTTAAAAAATAACTAAATAATATAACTGGAAACTGTGTAAGCAGAAATCCAGTGGACTGTACAGTGTTAATTATTTTACTCATTCCCAGGCATTGTAACAGTATGGAAACGCTTATGTGATCACATATTTTCTAAATAGGATCTTTGCTTATTCATAACTCAGGTAATGCTCACTTAATGAGCAGGAATTTAGTATTGCATATTTTCATTGGTGTTCATGTGTCCTCAGGCCTTATTTACACAGAATTACAATTGTTTAAATAAGTTGGAAAATTGTTATTCCCTTCATATGGTATTTGATTCTTTGTAGTGTCAAAATGTTTTGCAAACATTGTTTATGTATCTTCACAACCTCTTCCATTGTTTTCTTTATAGACATAGGACACAGAGATGAAGAAAGCAAACAAAGCTCTGCTCCCTTTGATTGCAAATATAATTTTAGTGGTCTTTGCAAAATGCTGTTGGGGTAGACTTAAAGTTAAGAGCGATTTCAGAACCTAACTTTGAAGGATATTTTAAATATGTATGTAGACAAACTATGCCAGTAAAAACAAGATAAACATATCACACAGGCATTGAAATCTTGGCTCCAGCTTGTGTTACGTACCCTAGCAGAGAATGCAGTGATTAAGCCGTCACATCTGAGGTCTAACTCTGAAGGGGGTGCAGTTTCTACTATACATGAATAAAAACAGTTCAGTCACTGGGTTTAGAATGTTTCTGTGTTACAGGTAACAAACAGCCTGTAGAGTTAAGATTAAAGTAGGAAAGGTACAGAAGCCAATTAATATAAATTCTGAATTCCCCACTGACAATTCTGATTCTGGTCTGTGAAACAAATTTCTGACTTAATGAGGTTTTTTGCATCTGTTTAGGTAAGATTTATGAAAATCACACAGAACTGTGTAATTTCTGGTCATAACAAAGCTAACATTTCCCAATGATCAATCAGATGTTAGCATCTGAGTTCCTATTTTACATGAGGAAAAACATGGGTCAGAGACAATAATCTGATTAAGACAAATTTTGTGTCAGAATGATAAATATGTAATATTTGTGCTCTACAACTATGTGAATGTGTGTCTCCGTGTGCATGCACAGGTGTTATTTATTCATGTGGTCCTTCATCTGTTTACCTCAGGACTAATTCTTTCAAGTTTTGAAAAGCTTCATGCAACCAGTGTTTTCTATTCCCTCTACTGCATAAGTATTTCCTTCTTTCCCCTACAGAGGTGGAATTTCATTCCAGCAAATGACACATTACACTGGCCTTAGGCCAAGATAAGCAGGCCTGGAAGATCAGCTCAGTGGCAAATTTAAGGCATCTTACCATGGTTTTAGGCTGGACATAACAGAAGATGGACATCGCAGGAGATACTCTCACTGAAGCTAAAACTTTGTTTCAGCTGCAGAATGTTCTGTGATGCTCACATCATGTCACTGTTAGGTGAAGAAATATGATTTTAGATTGGTTGGTTCTTGAGTTAACAATTCTGCAGGCTTTTCAAGAGAAGGTTTCCACAAACACAAACTAGGGTCTACCCTCTCCTTCTTTTGTAGGCCTAAGTGAATGTCTTCAGGTTTGAAAAAGATTCAGACCAAAAGGCAGAGAAAGTTCCAGAGTGCAAAAGGAGAGAAGTATATTTTATGAATCTATGTGGCCTTTCATAGAATCATAGAACATAGAATGGTTTGGGTTGGAAAGGACCTAAGATCATCTAGTTCCAACCCCCCTGCCATGAGCAGGGACACCACACACTAAACTATGTCACCCAAGGCTCTGTCCAGCCTGGCCTTGAACACCTCCAGGGTTGGAGCATTCACAACTTCCTTGGGCAACCTATTCCAGTGCCTCACCACCCTCACTGTGAAGAACTTCTTCCTTAGATCTAACCTAAAGTTCCCTGTTTAAGTTTTCATAGAAGTTTAATTGCAAACAATAATTGTGTGTAGTAGACCAAGGTTATAACTACTCATGTTTCACGAGAAGCAAAGTTTTATCTGTAACTCTCTGATGCTATTTAAAATATATATTTTATTGTGCATTTTGCCAAAAATTTTTGCTCAGACAATCACCTGCAAGAGGTGCAAGTATCAAATGTGAGATGAAACATACATGGACACATTGCGTCGGTTAAATTGTCCCTTTGATCTTTTCAGTTGGCCTTGTAAAAGAGAACAAAGCATTCATGTAAAAATTTAAAACCTCATGTAGAAGCTGGAATGTCTTAATAGCAGCAGTAGTAATAATAATGCTACCTTACACTTATTTATCACTTGCCATCTGCAGGTGGCCAAAATGTGAACAGCTTTTTGTAAACAGCTCTTGCAATTTCATAATCTCCACTCCATTTGATAAGCTGGGAATGGTTTGGTCTGTTATTTTGCAAAATGACCTATTTTACAGAGTGTACAAAAAAGGTAATTCCCTGAGTTACAAAGGTGCTGGAATTTAAGTCAGTAGGATCTACAGGTGCTTATTCACTCTAAAAATGAGGATAGAAATTATAGTCCACAGGTA